AAGGATGCCAATGGCACACTGGTCTTTGGACATTTAGTTGTCTCGAATATAGTTCTTGCTGCTTATGATTTGACACCGATTTGTCTGGTACTGATAGATTAAATGGCCGCTGTAAATATGCTAATACTACAGTCCATTACAAAATTAATATACCGAAAGCCATTAAAAACGCAATTGGTATTTGTTGTCCTGAAACTTACAAAAGTTCTATTGAAGATTTGTTCCTGCGATACAGAGGATGCAGGGATAAAAGGCCGTTATCCTGGCCCATTTCGAGTTCCAGTCTCGGAGCATTCCCCTCACCTGAACTTTGATACTGAAAACTGAACCTGTGACATTTCTCGGAAACACAACCACATTCATGGAACACGTTGTGCACATGCATTATCTGCACCCAGGCCCTGTAAAAGCACAAGGAATTGTGGAACTCAATTACTGTGAGAAAATGCCACACTTGACACAAGACGAAAGGAATCAGGTTATCGGTATGGTCAGCCACGGTGCTTCAGAAGTGATGATTGCCAGGCACTTTAATGTGCATCCATCCACTCTAAGACGACTCAGACAACGTTTTCGGGCTACCGAAACAGGACATGGCCAAATGTTATTTTTTCAGATGAATCCAGGTTTAACTTATCCTTTGCAGATGGACGTCAACAGATTTATAGACGTAAAGGAGAAAGACTTGCGCCAAACTGTGTCCTTGAACATGATCGTTTTGGAGGGGGGGTGGTGCCATGATCAGACCACAGACCATCAGAGGCTGCAGACAATCCAACAGCTGTTCCTGAGAAATGTGTATCTTTCAATGCCCCAAAGACTGCGAGCATGTCTTGCAGCGCAGGTGGACACACACGATATTGACTGCAAGTGACCCATCCTTTGTGTGATGTCGTTGTTGCGTCACTGATGTTGTTGTTGACTGGACATTTTCAGATGAAACTATTCACAGATGTTCACTTTAAAACATATCTGCCAGTTAGGTTTATATATGTTGAAATTAGTGTGAGTAAAGAAAGTATGAATGTCAAATTGCATTTTTAATTGCTTTCAGTATATGTCTAGTCGTTTGTACATGCGAAATTCCAGCACGAAACGGAATGGTCCTTATTTCCCACTACATTGTTTGAATCACATTTGAGTGTCAGTCACATAGGCACAAAAGGGAAATCCTCAGTATCGTCACTATTGCACCAACACAGCAGTAGTTATGTCATAGTGATTCATAATATGAAATTAGAAGGAATATTACAATGAACTCTGCTTTAGGATAGACGTTGTATGAATATAAAGCATATTTTGTCGCTTTTATTTACAAGCATCGTTCCCGTCTAAAAAAAAAAAATGGAACGATAAAAAGACTCACTAGGAAGATTCCCCTTCACTGACACTTCTTGAACATTTTAGCCAGACCCCTGACTTCATTAAAATTTAACATATATGTTACATTTGTGCAAAAATTCGCACACTGCAGTTTCTGCTTTATCGATCACTACATTGTCTAATTTGTTTACAGACCGCCGTTGCATGGCGATACTGATTATACCAGTGATATGCACGAGAAATAGTTTTGTCAAATTGCTGGTACTTTTTACTTTGGGAAATACGTGTGGCTATTATTCTGTTGAACAATTTTAAGAAGAAGATACATTTTGTACATACACAAATAATATATCATAGATATATATTCAATATGGTTTGCTATACAGGAAGTATCAATTGTCAGTCACTTTGTCACTTGTGATTTTCACAAACACAACTTCCTTCCTTCCTTCCACAACACAGTGTGTTTACCGCAACATACGCAATTCTCAGTCGACGGTTGACTTGGGTCTGGTAGGGTCCAGTATAACTTCAGTGGCAACTAAGTGTCCATCCACAGAGGAATACGTGATCATGTCTGTACAGGAATCAGGTGATGACCCCTCCCCAGGACAAAGGTAAGATGGATCCGCGGGTCTCTATCCTATCTCAGGTATCAACAATGTCGTTAAATTATTGTGAGATATGTGAGATATCCATACCAGACTCATGTATCCTGATGACTTATCGCGCCTGAAAGGAAAAAGGAAATCTGAAATAGGAAATAAATCGGTACTGCTCCAGCTAATGATAATAACAGAATGTCGGATGACAATCGTATAACATGAACTGTGTTGACGTCTCTTCTTCTTCGTATTCTTCTTCGTCTTCTTCGTATGAGATAACCCATCCCCTGGACAACGGTAAGATGGAGAAATCTTATCTCCGGCTGCTACAATGTCAATAAAAATCGTTGGGCTATGTATCAACATGACAGGCTATATATCCTCATGACTCAACCCTACACTTGTATACATGGTGACTTGATTTGTTGTTTAACGCCGCATTCAGTAACACCCCAGCTGTATTGGCAGCTGTCTGTAAATAATCGAATCTGGATCACACAATTCAGTGATTAGCATCATGAAGATCGACCTTCGCAATTGGGATACGATGACAGGTGTCAACCAAGTCAGATATCCTTACCACCCGATCCCGTTAGTCGCCTCTTACGACAAGCATGGGTTACTAAAGATCAACTCTAACCCGGATCTTCACGGGTCACCTGAAAGGGAAAGGGAAGATCCCGATTACTCTTGCTAATAAAAGCAGAAGTGTGCGAACTGTCAAACCGATGACAGTGAACTGTGCAGAAGCTCCTTCCACCCTGAAGTTCTTTGTCCACTTTCAACCTCCCCAAATTCAATTACAATAATTTTTAATTAAAAAACCCCAGTGTCTCAACCAAATAGAGGTTTTTACATGTCTAAACATTGTTTTATTGTATTATTACTACTACCAGCTTGATCTAAGAGTGAGAGGTGGTAGTGGCGGTGGTAGTGGTAGTGGTAGTGGTAGTATCAGTGTAACCTAGACGCAGATTTTCACCGTTATTTGAGTTTCAGTAGATACTCGATACTGATAAATCTCTGGCGTTCATGTTCTATATTTAACCATGACGTAACATGTCCATATATACCCATCCGTTTATAAATTAAACGCTTCAATTTAAACATCCCGTTATTCAGCCTCTTCAAGGAAGTTATTTGCATATTTGTACCACAAAACAGAATACAGAATGTCTAACCACAACCGGACATAACATGACCTCAAAGCAGTTCTCCAATTTGTGAACGTGAATTTCATCATTTCTTTAAAGTCATTATTTTAGCTCTCCGGGATATTATTACATGAAACGATTTAACTTTGTCAAACGTATTTAAATATATACGCGCTCTATGTTCTATAACACAAAAAGATATGAAAATTAATGTTTTTTCCAAATCTTTTTCATGTAAAATAATATGAATATTCATATCATAGCAGCATGTTTGTGTTTGTCATTCACCATAATTAGTAATTTTGTACGTAGTTGTGAATATTCTCTAAAACATGCTGTTGTTCCATCATGGGAGACTTTGATAAGTATGCAGTATGTATATTTGAACGATATGAACGATGCGAAAACGGCTAACGAGCATCATAATGTTGTGTGACATATTGATTTGAGCATTATCCGTTATACGTTTGCACCAATAGATATAGGAAGGAAGTATTTTGTTCCAAGCTTCTTAACACAACCGTGTTACGATGATACAACGGTGACATGTATACCATGTTATATTATTGAGTATTCCAAGTTTTTTACTGGGGCTTAACCGTCCGGAATATCAGGGTTTCACTGTTGACATTAAGCATCCCTCTTTGTATTATCTCTCCCAGGCCTAAGTAAATAAGTCGCAAAACACAATCCAACTTAAGTCTAGAATGATCTCAGGCAATCTACCCCGACACAACCTCAAAGTAATCATTGTGATCTGGGGTATATTTAAATAATTTCAGTTTATATTTTGCTTTTAATGAGGCAACTCTGTTTCTGGAACTAAATTAAATTTTACTTTTAACTACACCACCTCTACCCCCACCCCCACCCCACCCTCTAAAGCATAATACAGATAATTTCAAGTCTTCAATCTCAGATATTTTTACTCCCCAAACTGGACCTTTATTGTGCAGTTACCACTGTTTGGGGCAAAACATCCATGCTACAATTTGGGTAATTCATTTCAGGGTTTCTTTTGCCTCTGTCATTTCGATAAATACTGACCAGGTGCCCGTGGTCACATCACCTTGCTACATCAAGCACAGGGATACAGCTGTCCTAGTTCTTGTCTGTGCTGTCTGCGTTGTTGGTTCTGCGGCGACCGTGGTTGCCTACAGACATGGCATACAGAATACGCGGCGTCAACATCTTTATGACTCTGTGCCAGCGAGACTTGACGAGACTTTGAGGTATCCCACTCAGGAGTCGGGAGATGACAACTAAACAGCTACCTGACCAAATGGAGGCTTCGCAATTGTACTATACGTCAAACTGTTCTGCTTTACATAATTATTAACATTTGATTGCAATGATTGATTCAATGTACTTGATTGAATTTAAATATTGTTTGAATGCTATTATCTCAAGTCTTATGCAAACAAAAATAATATTCTTCAGATAATTTATGCTAACACGGTTGCCGCGATTAAACCGTCATCAAATGACAGAAACGTGGGAGCATATATTTTAAACGGTATTTATTAATTACCCACTTGTCTCTGTCAAACAGAAACTGGTGAAGATCATTGGATGTAATCATAACAGATTGTGACTGTCGCCACTATTTGCCAAGAAATATGGTTTGTAGTGTAGACTGTTGTGACGGCATCAGATGCTCTCGGGGCACATTCTGTTAACCTTCAAGCTGACCTTCAAGGGAAACATGAAAAAGGCAAAAGAAAGTGAAGAAAATTGTACAGATCATGATTAGGTTTATTTGAGAGGACTATTTATTGACCAAAGTCGTTAGATCTGTATTGTTACTACAAATTGTTGTTACGAGTCGCTAAGTTTGAGCACACCTTTACAACCTTACTCTATGTTTAGATGTAAAACACCAAAATAAAACCATAGTCAAGATGATTGAAATATGTACATCTCTTTGTGAATGTAATACGTTTGTATGTATGTATGTATGTATGTATGTATGTATGTATGTATGTATGTATGTATGTATGTATGTATGTATGTATGTATGTATGTATGTATGTATGTATGTATGTATGTATGTATGTATGTATGTATGTATGTATGTATGTATGTATGCATGTATGTATTTAATGTATGTATGTATGTAATGTATGTATGTATGTATGTATGTATGTATGTATGTATGTATGTATGTATGTATGTATGTATGTATGTATGTATGTATGTATGTATGTATATAATGTATGTATGTATTAAATGTATGTATTAAATGTATGTATGTATGTATGTATGTATGTATTTAATGTATGTATTTAATGTATGTATGTATGTATGTATGTATATATGTATGTATGTATGTATGTATGTATGTATGTATGTATGTATGTATGTATATACAATCTTTTACCAGTTTTATTCATTTTCTGATGTAAAATGGTCTTTGGAACACAATTATGTACTTGTATTGAAATATTGACCTCAATAAATTATCAACCTATATGCTTTGTAACGGCTCCATGGTAATAGTTGAAAGATTTTTCCTTTCAATCTCTAGATCCGCTTCTGTGGATCTTCAGAGATAATTATATCTTTGTCACGTACTGCGATTGTATACCTACTCCTGTACAGGCCGGTGTTAGAATTGCGTGGCTAAGAGGCAGAGCTTCCAAGCCAATTCACGGTGTTAGTCACTGGATTGTCTGATCCCGGCACGACCATCTACAGACTGCCGTGACACAGGAAACATATGCTACCAGTCCACCAGGTATTAGTGGCATCATGTATATTGTTAATACTGAGTTAATGCAAGTTTGACGAGGTGCAATGAATCTGAATGATTATTCAGCTGGTTTATTACAGGTTTGAATAGAGATATTGCTGAAAGATTTTGTATTACTTCCTTAAATTCGCGTCGTCGGAGACGTTTATCAATATCATAGATTACTCATACAAGGTACTCTCAATGATCATGAATGCATTTATATATATTCTGAGCAAAGGGACAGTTTGCAGACGCGGAAGCCGAAAGCGTTATCGCTGGTGGATCGATAAGAACAGTATCTCCTGTTGATAGACTATTCACTTGTAACCATTTGTACCACTGCAGAAACACCTAGTAATGTTTTTGTGGTATGTCATGAAAGATTAACTCATCCAGATGTTATTGCAGTAGTAGCAGCATATATTTATGATTATGTGAAATAATATGCAAATCGCACTGAAGAGCTTTAGATAGACTGCTCAGATTCTACAATTATGCGCGTTTGCGTACAGACAAGAGAAAGCTGATGTCAAGTGATATTGCATATTAGCTTATCACAGTGATGTTGTTGTGTTTCATCACGCAACGAGCACAGGCCCTCGTGTCTTTGCGAGGATTAAAGATTTAAATATATATATATGCTTAACAGTACAATACGTCATGGCACCTGGCATGATGTGTATTACTGTGGCAGCCAGACAGGAAACAGTTGTTCCCGAGTGAGGGAGTGGTTTTGGGCTTTGTCATTCAAATGCCAATGATCCGCTGGTCACGTGCCACCCGGCATTGAATATCTACAAAATATATGAGTCACCGATTGTATGATGAATAAAGTGCAGGCTGCTCCTAGCAGCATAGCTTACAACAATGTGTTGGTGCTGAAAACTGACAGTAATAAAGAGTGACAACAAAATAATGTCCGAACACTAAAGTAGCCAGTATACAAGTCTAAGAATCACCCTTGTGCTACCACACCCTTCGATCAGTTTGTAAATCTGTTTTCAAGCTATAAAAGCACTGTAATCGATTCATCAGTTTTATACGTGCAGGTAATGCTTCGGCCCAATTCAAACACGTGGGTATACCCAGTGTGTAGACATTACAGATCACTGATATATGATTGTATCCTTTCAGATAATTACAGATGACTGATCTACTACCAGCCCCCATAACAGACCTCCTTTCATGGCGTCTGACTGCTATTGTTATGGCTGTTACCATTATCGTCACCTCCATTTTCGGGGCAATTGCTCTCTTCAAGGAGGATATGATTGACGCTTTTGGTCCGGTTACAGATGTAACCATTAGCATTATGGGCAATGTGATACAAAAAAGATCGTGATTCTTCTTCACTGCGTTGGACTGTCTTTGAGACAGGCAGGAAACAACTGAACGAGGACGCTACAAGCTATGAAGGTACGCAACACTGATGCTTTTCAGTGTAATTTACATAAAAGCTAAGAATGCACAATGGCATTTTGAAAGTGGCCCTTTGTAACATATATAATATCTGGGGTTATTTTTGCTGTTCGACCACGGGAATTATTCCAATTTACGCTTGTCAGGTTGGTACAGAAAGTACATGATGTAGACTACTAGTTGTCAGACGTCTATTATTGTGGAAGTCGCGCTGGCTGAGTGGGTTAGATCGCTGACTTTGTGCCTTGGTGTTTAGGTGCTTCACTGTGTGTGTGGTTTCGAATCCAAGGTGGGACCCAAAGCAAAAACGTCTGCCTTATTTGTCGTGTATGAAACGATCAGTAATTTGCATTTGACGTTTGAATTACCCAATAGTCATAAACTGTTCAAGGTTGATTTGGGAATATTTCTTATGTTCCAGATACACGGGAGGGTGCCGATGATCAATGCTTGCAGCAGTGACAGTGATGGATACATGGGGAACATGCAGTTATTAATATGATGCATTACATTTCTGCTGGACATTTTATGTTAATGTGTGTCTGTCAGATTCTTTTTTACTGTGTCTTGAAATAACTATCACCCTTCTTTGTGGTATATTTTGACTGAACTCACACAATAACATAAGAAATAAAGCATATGAAAATCTTCAAATTGACTAGTCTCTTCAGTATGTTTGCTATTGACAATGCGTGTTCATAGATTTCAGTAGAAGTGTCACGGTGCCGAACAGTTGGATCGAACCCGTCAAAATATGGGACACACAAATTCAACACAATCTGACCTACGTCACAATAAGGGACATGCAATCTGAACCACGTCACAATAAGGGCCAGATAATCTGAACTATGTCACAATAATGGACATGTAATCTGAACTACGTCACAATAAAGGACATGCAATCTGAACCACGTCACAATAAGGGACACACAATCTGAACTACGTCACAATAAGGGACATGCAATCTGAACTAAGTCACAATAAAGGACACACAATCTGAACCACGTCACAACAAAGGACATGTAATCTGAACCACGTCACGATAAAGGACATGCACTTTGAACCACGTCACAATAAGGGACACACAATCTGAACCAGGTCACAATAAAGGACATGTAATCTGCACCACGTCACAATAAGGGACACACCATTTGCACCACGTCACAATAAGGGACACACAATCTGAAGTACGTCACA